CCCCTGTGCGCAGCTGAATCAGCACTGGTGCTCAGAGAGAGCAGATCCATCACTGTGAAAATTTGCTCAGGGACTCGGCCCCTTGAAGAGGCTTCTGCCTCTGCCGCAGCCTCCATCTCATTCAGCCATTTGTGACTGGGGAGCCCCGCATCCTCGCCCCGTCCTACCTTCTGCCATTGCAGGGTGATTTCTTGGATTTCTCCCTAGTTGTATGGCTTGTTCATCTTGATACCAGGCAATTTTTCCTTGCTGCTTGCTCCTTGTTTCTGTCACAGCTTTGATTTGGTTGCCAGAGGGGTGAACAGAGCCTCTATCATCTATGCCATTTTTTTTTCCCTCCCTATAGTAATATCAATTTAAGCTAATTTTTTCCACCCTGGAATTGGATTCATCAACAAATAAGGGTAATAATTCATTAGGTTGTTGTGAGGATCGGATGAAGATACCACCTAATTTAATGCCTTGTACACACTTGACATTCAGTAATGATTCCGCATCTCATATTTCTAAAAAAGAATACATGAAAAGATGGAATTAAAAAAACCTAGGTTAAAATGTAATAAAATAGTATATGTTAAAAGAGACATTTATATTAACCATTAGGGAAGTGCAAATTAAAACCATGATGAGATATCACTACACATCTATCAAAATGACTAAAATAAAAAAATATTGACAGTACCAAATGCTGGTGAGAATGAGAAAAACTGGGTAACTCACACATTTCAGTGGGAATATAAAATTGTATAGCCACTTTGGAAAATAGTGTGGTATATTTTTACAAAGTTTACCATAACACTCTCCATATGACCAGCAATCATACTCCTGGAAATTTATCCTAGAGAAATGAAAATGTATTTATATAAATATCTATACACAAATGTTCATTGCAGCTTTATTTGTAGCAGCGCCAAACTGTAAACAAGTGTCCTTCAGAAAATAAATGGATAAACTGTGGTACATCCATACCATGGAACACCACTAGCAATAAAAAGGAAGGGGCTCTTTTTTTTTAAAGCTTAGTCTAACTTTTAATTATGTCTTCTACATCATGCAACAAATGAGAACTAATAGAGTTCATTCTTGTTAATTTATAAAGGCTCTTTGGGTATTTAGGATAGTATGTCTTATGAATTTTCCTAGCTAGTACATCTTCTAAATTTTCATTCTTAACAATTATATACAGAAGTTTTAAATTTTGTATGTAATTAAACATACCAATCTTTCCCTTTATGATGTATATCTTTTATATTATGCTTCAAATTCTTCCTCAAGGTGACTTTAGAAATTTATAAAAAGGCAGGAACTCTTGATGCACACAACTTGGATGAATCTCAGGGTCCTTACTCTTAGTGAAAAAAGCCACTCTCACAAGATTAAAAACTGTGAAATTTGATTTATATAACATTCTCTAAATGATGAAATTATAGAGGTGGAAAACAGATCAGTGGATGCCAGGGTTAGGGAGAGAAGAGGAGGTAGAGGAGCAGAATAAGGGAATTCATTTGTAATGACAGAACTGTTCTGTATCATGATTGGTGGTTATATGAATGTGTACAAGTAATAAAATTTCATAGAATGATACACACACACCTAAAAAATGAATTTATGCAAAAAGTTGTGAAATCTAAGATCTATAGTCTAGTTAATTGCCAGTTTCCTGGTTTTGATAATGTACTACAGTTATGTAAGATATTACCTGGGTTATAGGACATGGAACCTCTCTGCATTGTTTTTGCAGTTTCTTGTGAGTTTATAAATATTTTGGAATGAAAGTGTAAATATTAATAACTGATGCTGATGTGGTATAATCTATTGCTGGTGGCAATACAAAACTGTGGAGCAATAGATATTTTGAACCTTAAATGTTTATAAACTTTGATCTACTAATCTCCATTTCTGGCTATCCTAAGAAAATAATTCCCCAAAAGATAAACACTATAGATAATGTCATTTGTAATAACAAAATATCCACATACAAAAAATCTTAAGTATTTCAAGAGGTAGGCAACTAATTAAGTAAATTACAGTACATCTACTAACTGCAATATTGTTTAATCAATTGATAAAAATAAAATAAATAGCAATGCTGTTATATACAAGAAATGTGTATGAAGAACAAATGCAATTTTATTTGTTTATGTTGCTTTAATGTGTATGTAATTTTAAAACAGTACTGAGGTATGGCCAACAGATTCAAAAAGTTACAATTCACTTTGTTCAGGGGTTATAATTTTTAAATTAACACTAATAATTATTTTAAATTCTTTCTTGAACTCCTGGTCTTATTTATTTCCAGTTCTGTCCACTTTGCCGTTTAATACCTAATGAGAATCCAAACAGTTTCAATGGCAGTTTAATAAGACATTTGCAAGTCAGTCACACTCTGTTTTATGACGATTTCATAGTAAGTATATTTTTTTACTTTTATAATTTCTGTATGCTGTCTGTGTTAAGCTTACCTTTTTAATCCAAGTGAATAAAATTAAAGAGGAAAAATATGTATACAGCTGAAGTGTTAGGTATTAGAATCAAGAAATCATAAAAATGTAGTGTTTCATAAATTTGACTATTAAGTAGCTATCTGCTTTAGACAAAATTACATTCTTTTTGATCTATATAATTATCCTTTGTATAAGGAGCCAGATTTCACTTTTAAATTATTTTAGTTTCTACTCTACTATCTTCCTATGTATAGTTATAATTTTTGTGAACTTGGAAACTTATATAGCTCAGATGAAATCACATCAGTAATAAAATAAGTCAGAGCTTGTGTTGCATCTCGTTGCTTTTATAGTACATTGAATGCTTGTTAACAGGTATGTCATTATCAGTATAGTAGGACACATAGGCATTATTTTTAACTTAAATTCCATTAAACACAAAACTCTTATTAAACTTTTCAAACTTAAAAAAAATATTACAAAAGATTTTAAACAAATTCAAAAGTATAATAGTATAATGAACTCCCATATACCCATCACCCACCCATCAATAACTACTAACTCATGACCAATCTCATTATATTAAGACTTATTTTAAGATTCAAGAAAAGTTAGGTATAGTATAAATAGTCCAAAACTTATGACTGTATTCCCATGATCAGAAATGAGAACAAGCAAAAGGTTAATGTAGCCTTTGTTGTACTTTGGTTCATGCCTTGCCATGTGAGGGTAATGTATTGTCCTCTGAGTCTCTTTCAACCTATTATGGGGGGCAAATCACTGAGAGCTATGTTCTGAAATAGAATATTTTATTGTTACTTTTATCTAAATACATGAAATGTTAAGGGCTAAATTTTAATTTACATATTTCATATGACTTTTTAAAAATGCTATTTCAAGATAGACTTTAATAACTGTTAAATATTGTCATTTGAAAACTTTCTCCTTGCTTTTTGATCTGCACATTATGACTATCCAGATTTAACTCAAGGAGCTTGGGTCCTGACGTGGATATAAATAACAGCTCTGTTATAACTGTGTGACCTTGGGCAAGATAGTTAACCTCTGAGCTTCTGTTCATTTAAGTGAAAAGAGGATAAAAGTACCTACTCCTAAAAGCTTTTGAGAGGATTAAATGAGATAATGCACATAAAGTGATTTACACAGTTTGGGCCCTGATGTTAGGCAGGTTGAAAATGAGAATGAATGGGAATGTAAGGACCACTTAAAGCATTGAACAAGCTACACCACAGAGGCTTCATAGTCTCTGCTCCATTTCTCAAATATATTTTCTGGCCTCTAACTTACACAAAGCCTCAACAGAGCCTGGTTCTGGTCTATGGTCTCATTTTTCACAGCACACAGGGCTTCCTCTTTAATATGTTCTAAAACCCAGGTTGATTCCATACCTGTTCTGGCTGCTCATATCAGTCCATTCTTCTCAAGATCTTTTGGACAAAGTAGAAATCCAGGGCTGGACAGGATAAAGCCACTTTGATGAGAATACCTTTCACCCTTCTCAGAACCATATTTTTGGGTATGGAAGTGAGGTTGAAGCAGTGTTATTTGTTTTTGTTTGTTTTTGTTTTGCTTTCTAAGCTACCAAATACTATGGTAGGCACTTTTTAAAATTATCTCATTTTATTCCTTTCAGCTACTTCTGCAAAGGGAGTACTGTATTATTATCCTCAATTAGGTATGAAATATCTGAAGCTCGAAGATTAATAAATTGTCTAAGAAACAACCACTATTGAGTGCCAAATCTTGTGTTCTTTCTTTGTCTGTATTTGGATTTTATTTGTTTACCTTTATGCTTTTATGTTTCAGAATGGACTTCCAACAAAGCTTTTACTTTTATTTTCTTTTTTTAGTTTATCGAGGAAGAGGAGATGGGTTGCAGAGGATAGGCACTTAGTAGTTTTTGTTTTGTTTATAGAATGTGCTGACTTAAAGTTTTCAATGTCATTTTGACATTTCAATGTCATAGGAAGGCAAAGAGAAGAGAATTTTGCTTTCAGTAGTTTTTTTTTTCAGAAATAAATATTCAGCAGTACTGTTGGGATTGGTAAAACCTATAGGAATGTCTTAACTTTACTTTGTATTATGTTTATGTGGAACATAGTTCTCTGACCAATATTTGTAATGTTGACTTAAAATTACTGGTTAGATCAGATAAAAACTTAAATTCCAAATCAATACTATTTTATTGTGACAATAACTAGTTAATTGATAGGCAGTAAAAGGCCCAAAGCAAAAGTCGTAGGTTTCCTGAGAGCTTTTGTGGAAATTTGGACAGGTTGCTAAATTCAGGGCTTTAATTTCCTGCAAAATGAGGCATTTTGCCTCAGTTTCTAAAAACTGTCTCTGATTGTGTATTTCTAATTATTTTTCTTTATTGTAGGATTTTAATATAATTGAGGAAGCTCTTATCCGAAGAGTCTTAGACCGGTCACTTCTGGAATATGTAAATCACTCAAACACCACATAATGCTATTAAAAGGAAAGGAAAGAAGACCATGCAATCGAACCATTTGTTAAGATGCTGCTTGAACAGTTGAAGGGAAATTGTCAATTTTGGATGCGCAGAAATGTACAACACAGTCATATGTTTGTCCATGTTTGTTGTTATTTTGCATTTTAAAATTGCTTTCATTTTGATGGTTTAAATCTGTTTTACGTTCTTGAGTTTCTTAGACACTTAAAAAATAGTCTCCATTAGCCATTAATATATGAAAGAGAACATAAGGCTGGGTATGTGGGTGAAGGATCTTAATTTGCAAATTGGATGACACTGTGTTATGCTACATATTAATAACTACCATCAGGGTTGGGCAAGATAACTAATCTTTGTCCTGTGTAAAAAGATGGAAAGTGAAACAAATTGTGGACATTCAAGGAAATATGAAATCTGTTTCAATGCTCATGCTCTAATCTCTACTAGAATAACATGAATAACTTTGTATGGGAGTAGGAAAGTAAAATTTTGGATGTCAACAAAGTCCATTTAACCAAATCATATCACGTAATACTGTAACAAAATAAATTTTATGTTAGGAAAATATACTTCTTTTACTTTTTGTAACTATACACATAAAAATTTAATATTATATTTTTCAAATATTTGTAGCTTATTTAGAAATATTTCTATAATGTAGGCAATTTCTTAAGGACCATCAGTTGATATTTACAGAAGTTTTCACATCCATAATTTTTAGTGGAAAACTCTAAGGGCTTTGACATTATTTTTATTTTAATCTTTAGAAAAATTATAAAATAAAACATAAATACTGAAAAACCAAACAGAAAATGTATAGCTCATTGCATTATTATAGGAAAACACTCCTTTAGAACTCTGTCAGCCATACTGGATGTCCTCTGTGTGTCCTGTCACAGTTCACAACCCTCTCCCCCAACAGGACAAAAGTAACCACTACGTTGATTGTAATAGTAATCACTTCCTTACATTTCTTTATTACCAACTTTATTACCCACATACTTAAAAAAAAATCTTATCTATTTAAAATTATTTATATTAGATATATCTTTTACATCCCTTTTTAATCTATACCTTTCCTCTTCTTTCTTTTCCTTAAAATTTACCTATTGAAGAACCCGTTTCCCACACTTTGTATTTTACTGATTGCAGACTCATGGTGCAATTGCATGTTCCTTCGTCCTCTGAATATTGACAGATGGATCCAGAGGTTTGAGCAGGTACAATCCTTTTGGCAAGGCTATAGGTCATGTGTATTCTTACATCAGAGGAGTATATAATGTCTGGTTTTCTCTTTTTGTGAGGTCAGTTGAAATTGATATTCAGTGCCCAGATTCATTGATTTATTGTGGGTTTGAGAATATTCTATCACTTCTTTTTCATTTATTACTTGGAACATTTTTATAAAGAGATGTTTCTCCACATGTATGACTTGGTTCATATAGGAAAAGAAAAACAAATGTTTGAAATTTTCCCTTTATTTACCAATTTTCAAGATAATAAACTTGTTTCCTATCATCTTCCAGGGATCACTTTTAAGTATTATGAACTCCTAGATTCGAACATATTTGGGAGGCTTTAATTCATTTTAAATATTACCTTATTAAAGCTCATATTACCCCATCTTTGTTCACTGGGTGCTTCATCAAGTTATCTCTGAGTCCTTTTGATACTACTCTAGCAATCTTTAATAGCTTCCTTGCTGTCTCGTATGACAAAATATTCCAGGCTCAACATGTATGTTTCCTGTCCCTGACCTGGAATCTGCCATTTCTCCAAGGAGTCTGGCTAATTTCAGTGAATAATGGTATTTCAAAACCATAATCAGGGCTGTTATGCTCAATGCTACTAGATTTGTGACTGTTTCTAGGAGAGAGCTAGGATTTGTCTGTTTTTTTTTTTTTTTTTAAAGTTAAAACACTTCATAAGTTTATTTTGATACTTCCAAATCAAATTGAGTACTACAGGGTTTTTACCTAATCTTTTCTATTTCAACTGCATCTCCAGTTTTCTATACTGCGAACCCTGGTTTTCAAAGACACAGGGCATAATAGAATTAGAATATCCCACAATTATTCATTTCCTCTATCTTACACATGCAGTAGTTTCAGAATAATAGTACTCATACAACCAGTATGATAATTGAAACAAACATTTTTTTCATTTGCTCTCCCCATTCTCCCACTATTTTTTCAAGTCGTACTTTATCAACATTTTCAGAACATACTGGTACGGTATATAACATACTATGCTCTCTCTCTCTATCCTCTATTTAGTCTTAGTTGTCAAGTCGCTCCATCCAGTGCTTGCCACCAATCCTTATTTGATAGCTCTATTTTTCATATCTGGCTCTCTTTAGTGATGAATCCAGGACACAGAATAATGTTTTCATCTTGAAAGCAAGCAAAGAAGCTATGAAGACTAGTTAGAATGTTTGGCTGCAGTTAGCTTTTTAATTGTAATCATTTATAAACTTTTTTGTTCCTTACACATAAATGTAGTTGTGACCGTGGTGCCCAAAATTTTCTATAATAAACTATCCATTACTTCTTAAAAATCTTTCTTATTATTCTGCCATCCACTACGAGGTAATTAGAAAAACGTAAAGCCAATGGAATTTAGAGGGCTTTATTTCCTCTTTTTCAGATATTGATTTCAAGCTTGATTTCACAGCTGTGAACAAGTAACAAAGATTTTTAGTTTAACAACCTCACTTTCTCAAATCCAATAAAGCAAAACCTGTTGGACAAGTACAAAAGGAGAGGAACTTTTGAGAGGTAATCGAAAGACTGAAAATGTAGTCCCTGAAAAGTAAAAGAATATGTTTCTGACCATTAGTATTGAGGGCCCGGAAAATAAATCAGAGCACTACAAAAGGCATCTTTAAATTTGTAAAATTTGAAAAACTTGAAAAACTATATTTTAAGTAAAGCTTTAAGTCACCTACCACTATTAACCTCAATACAGCAATTCTGCATCCTGTCCCTGGGTTCCTCTTATGATAATTTTGCCACCTACAGGACAAATTAGGTGCTGGCCGCCTGAATTATTTTGCCATTTGAATTGTTTTGAGTTCTAAAATGGTTGAGTACAAATATTTATTGTTTCGTGGTGCCTTTTAACATTTTATAAAAAGAAACCTATAATTCATTGTTTAAAAAAACGAAAACCAATATTTGAAGCTGTTTGTTGACTACTGACAAAAAAGTTTCACCATCTTTATAGTGCCTCAAGATGCAATTTTTTCAAGGCCACATAAGGGAAATCTGATTCACATGTTATTCTTCAAAGGCTAAATTCTTCTAACCCTACAAACACCTAAAGTTTCTAAAATGTTGGTTGAAAAATTAGATTGTGAATCTGTGGAAAACATGGTTTCAGGTCAGATTGCCTAAGATATTCTGGCTGCAGTAATGTTGCTTCATGACTTACTGGGTGCTAAGTGTCTTCCATTTTGAAATGAGCTTACTCCAGTTATTGAATGTTTATCATATAATTTGTACCTTTAAGTATTGAAGTTATTTTAAAAAGTCATTAAGAGATTCATTCTTTTATCATTCAACTGAAAAAAAATCTGTATAATGATCAGAATTGAAAATGTACAGTTCTTTTTTTCTTCTGTAAATATGTATTGCAAGAAATAAAGAATGGCAGGACCATTGCTTTCAATAAAATACTATGTCTATTATTTATCTATTTATTTATTTTTTATGGTGACATTGGTTAATGAAATCCAATAAGTTTCAGTTGTACACTTTAACACTAAGGCATATATATGTTTACACTTTGTGTTCATCCCCCATAGTTAGATTTTTTTCTGTCACCACATATTTGACCCCTTTAACCCTGTCTATCTATTTTTAAATATTGATAATTTTTTATATAAACCTACTATGCTTTTAAATTTGTCATCATTCAGCAATATCTATCAAAAAATATACCTCCATTTAAGCCAGTAGTTCTCAACTGCAAGTAGTTTTACCTCTTGGGGGACATTTGGCAATGTCTAGTGACAATTTTGGCCAGAGATGTGGGTAGAAGCCAAGGAAGCTGCTTAACATTCTACAATGACAGGACAGCCCCCTCACAACAAAGAACTACCCTGCCCCAAATGTCAATAGTGCTAAGGTTTAGAAACATTGATTTAGCCCAAGGTAATGCCGAGTACCATGGAGTTATTGGTTCTGCTTCCAATGGGCTTCAACGAAATTTAAAAGGTAAAACGTACAAAAACTCTGTATATCCTACTCTCTGCTAAATACATACCAAGTTTTGGGTGGCTGTAGCTCTCATGTATACCCCAGTTCAAAATATGCTCAAACATATGAAAGCCTTTTAGGTTTTTCACAAGTGGTACAGGCCAGAACACAGGTGTTACTGACATGACTTCTGATGACTTTCTTTACTGAGTGACATCTTGAAAGATAGAAAGAACTCAGGATGAGTTGGGAGGACTTAGCTTTGTCATCTAGGCTATCTTTATTGAAGTAAATGAGACAAAATATTACAGAGGGTCACCTATGTCTGAGATCTTTGAAGCTAAGAAATATTTTATCCTATTACCGGAAAATCATCTGGTATTTTAATCCTGCAGATTTCAGAGAAGGCAATGCATGGGTCTTGATTAAGACTAATCATTGCCCCAAAGCAGCTATATAAGAGGCCCAATGAAGGCAAACCACATGGAGAGATTGGTTTAGATAGATCAGGTCATGCTACGATTATAAACTCCCAAATCCCAGCACTCAACTAAGTTCTACTGTGAATCCTGGCTATTTTCCAGGTAGCTATTCTCCAGCCTCAGAATTACAGATTACTTTGACCTCATAGCATTTGTTTATAACCACATACTTCCCCAATCATCCCTCACCACAACAGGATGGAAAGGTGGTTACAGAGGTAATGCAAGCCCTACCTCCAAATACCATCATATTGGGGATCAGGGTTTCAACATATGAACTTTAAAGGGATACAGGAGATCCTTAACAATATGTTTGTTGAATGAAAAAATGAGTAGATGACAAATGGATCAGAATACTCATGTTAGCTCCTCTGCATATTCTTTTCTCACTAGCAAAGTCTACATGAGAAACAAAATTATAATATAAAGAGCAACCTATGTCTGAATTTACTAATTATTGTTTCCCCAGAACCTACCACAGTGCTATGCACCTATAAGCACTGAATAAATACCTGATGAATGAATTAGTGAACAAATTGTAGTTGAGAACCATAACCAAGATATTCTTACTGAATAAATTCTTCAAGCCAGATGGATCACTACTCTTTAAAGATACACCTGCCAAATGAGCCAAACTATTAGACAACTTCTCTCCTAGACAGAGTTCTAAAGTAGTGATTCAGTCCACTGGTACAGCTCTTAGTACAAGAAGTGGTATTAGTTTTCCTTCATTCAGTAATATTAGAAGTATGGTGCTAATTCTGAAGGACAACTGTATATTATATATATTAGTTGCTGAGTTTAATTTGCTCCAGATTATACAATGTAGTAATTTGCTACAGAGTTAACCTAGGTAGCCAAATAAAATTAGCTATCTCACCTATCAGATTAAATGAAGGAAAGGTGTAGTTCTTATAGCCACTATATTTTGATATACCTCTACCTGTATTTCACTTTGACGTGTAATAATGTATGTAAGAAAGTCACAGTCTTACATGTAAAACTATACTGTCTTTTGACAATATTTCAAGTGTGTGTTCTACAGAAATGTCAACCTTGAGGCATGCTGATTTTAAAATTACATTAAAGACAGAAGCAATAATTTTCTAATTAAAAAAAATTAAAGTAGTCAAACTCTTAAAAACATAAAATAGGGGATGGCTCCCTAGTGTAGTGGTTAGCACGTCTGCTTTACATGCAGAAGGTCCTGCGTTCCCATCCCAGGTGGAGCCACAGACCATACCCCGGGGGCAAGTGTGGGAGGAAGGGGGGTTGGAATTAAAGAGGTGAGAAAAGAAAACATAAAAGAGAATGGTTGTTGCCAGGGGCCAAGGGGAGGGAGGAAAGGAGAGTTGTTTAATAGACAAAGTTTCAGTTCTGCAAGATGACAAAGTTCTAGAGATGTTGCATAACAAGGTTTATAGTTAACACTACTGCACTGTACTTTACTCTTTAAAATGGTTAAAGTGTTAAGCTTTAAGTTGTTTTGTTTTGTTTTTTACCACAATAAACAAACAAAATTGGTATGTGGGTAAACCAAATACCATGGTGTATATATATTTCTATGCCACCTAGTTCGGGAAATTATAATTGTCAGTAAAATTTAAGAAAGAAGTATTATCTCACTGGCAAGCACTTTAGGTTTCAAAAATACAGTTCTTAAATATAGAAACCAAATAACTCCTTCTTGTTGCTATTTTTTCTGCCCACTGGTCTCTCTCGAGACTTCTGATGAAGTTTAAAACACACACGGCTTTGTTTCCTTCTTTCTTCCCCCTTATGCAGTGGTTGTACATTCTTAAATATTTATTGATCTGAGTCACCAATCTAGGTTAGTATCACTTAATTAAAGGATTTTTGAAGAAACTCTTAGGAAGAGAAGGCAGTTCTTAGTGGTGATGCTATTGTTGTTTTTCACACTGCACATCCTGTGCTCAAATAACAATGAGGAAGAGTTTGCCTGAGGCTAAAGTCAACCCATGCGAAGCAGAGCCGAGATAAAGTGAGAAACTAAATCCTGGTATCTTTTGTTCCTTTGGTTTCGAACAGTCATTATCTAAGTGTTACTAGTGGAATGATGCGAGCTGGAGAATTCTATTTATTGCTTAAGCCATTTTAACTTGTATTTCTATCACTAGCAACCAAAAGAAATTTGACTAATGCAGGTTCCATGCAATAATTCTCAATCCTTAAAATTCATTTATCCCCTTACCTAGTTGAAGTTGGGTTCTGTAATTCAAACTTAAGAGTCTTAAGTGATATAAAAATCAGTACCAGAAGGGGGATCATTATTTTAGATCATAGGAGAAAGTGGAGAACTAGCTGAGCTGTGGCTAGGTGGGGAGTGTGGGGCAGGAAATATTCCTGTATTATGTGGTAAGAATTTAAGATTTTGTACGTAGATTTAAAACAATTACCTAAGCTATTTTCTTTATTTCTCTTGGGCTTAAGGTGTATGGCTATGGAAAAACTTTAGAGGACTTAGTAGTAAAATGTCAACGAGTCAGTATCAATATGCCAGTTTTTAATCCATCCTCAGCTCAAAATTTACTCCTTTTACGCCTGCTGTATGAAAATGAATCTGGGCCCTTTAAGTATTTTTCCTTTGCCCCGTGGCACAATAGCAAGTTTTGCCAATAGAGAGCACTAGAGAGAAATGCAGAAGGAAAAGGGTTTTGTTTCCTGGTTCTGGTGTGCTTGCTTCCTGTAGCTCACAGGGCCAGCCTCAACTCCTACAGGGCACTGTGACCAGTAGCACCCTGCACACAGAAGCTTCCTGCAACATCCCTCTGGATGGTATTGTAGCAGAATACCTCCTGTAAGAAACAAATAGTTTCTTTGACATCCTAAAGGACAGATTTCCAGCAAGTTCTGACAGCATGGCACCACAGTGACTTCTCTGTCATCCAGTGAGCTACAGCTGGGACTTCTCCAGTGAGGTCTGGATCTCAGCCCTAGTGGTGGTAGTGGCAGAGGCCTTCCTTGGGTACTCTATCTCAACCCTACATTCCTTAAAAATTTTTTTTTAATCTGAAACACTTCACGAATTTGTGTATCACCCTTGCATAGGGACCATACTAATTTTCTCTATATTGTTTCAATTTTAGTACAAAGAGTGAGCACTCAACCCTATATTCTTTAAAGATCTCTACTTCTTATGACAATCCCCTATTTGAATTAAAAATTCCTTATATTAAACGTTCTCAGTTCAAATTACTGTGTCTGTTCAAACTTTTCTTTTGTGATTGGACCCACACTGATAAATCAGATTATATTGATTTTTCCTGAGTAACAACAAGAAATTTGCATGCTCCCATCAAGATTTACCTGGATATGGATAGTGAAAAAGAAGAGTTGGGAATTGAAGATGCTTAGGTCTAAATCAAGTAAGTAAGACTGAAGTACAGAAGTCTAATTCTCTGATTTATTTCTCTTTTCTGGGTATAAGGTTGAAATGCTGACTGAGAAAGTATAAGATCCTGGCAACTAGAATGGGAAGGAATTAATGAAGAGTTTGAAGTACCCTGACTCTGAGCCACACCACAGTACCTCACATTGGCTCTCCTCCTGACAAAACAGGATGGCACTGCCATTGCAATGTACACTGAACTGGAATTCAGTTTGGAGGTTGATGATATTCTAGAACAGCGGTCTCCAACTTTTTTGGCATCAAGGACCAGTGCTCCTATGAGAATTTACCACCTGATGATCTGAGGTGAAGCTCAGGTGGTGATGCTAGCGCTGGGGAGCGGCTACAAATACAGATGAAGCTTCACTCGCACGCCTGCCATTCATCTCCTGCTGTGTGGCTCGGTTCCTAACAGGCCTTGGACCGGTACTGGCCAGCGACCTGTAGAAGACAAAGAAATACTCTGCCAGCCCAGCCAGCTTACTTTATTCACACTGTCCAGTCCTGAGACAAAGTCCGTCAAACAGAGTAAACTGGTATGCGTTACCCCTCAGAGTTGCTGCTAAAAAACATAAATCTGTGAGTGTAGCCCATGCTTTAACGGCCTAGCTGACCTGACAAAGTTTTTGGTGTTTACTTTTAGGAAATTCCCTGGAGGTCTAGGGGTGGGACATAAAGTTCCAACCCTTAAATCACATGGTTGCTTTTCTGGTGACCAGCCCCCATCCTCAAGTGACTTAGGGGCTTTCCAAAAGCCACCTCATTAACATAACAAAAGACAGCTTTCATCGCTTAGGAAATTACAAAGGTTTTAGTAGCTCTTTGCCAGAAATAGGGAAAAGACCAAATATATATTTCTTATTATAAATCATAGTATCAGAGAGGGAGAAATACCTTGGCTTCTTCCTTCTGGTTCTTCGTCAGTACCTCCCATTGTCTGAACACAGCCAGAAGTCCGTTGGCAAGGAGAAATGGGAAATAGTTTGCAAGGGTGAGCTCCAGCACCATGCAGCAGAACAGGGGACTGGTGGGGAAATGGATCAGAGTCAAGAAGGAGATGCTCAGCTCAGATACTTGAGCAACAAATAAGAGCCAACTGAGAATGGCTTAAACTAGAAAGGTTTAACAGATAGGATATTGGACAGTTCCAGTGTTGATTAGATTAATTGAATGGCTCAACTACATCAAGAACCTACATTCTTTCCATCTTTCAGCTCTGCCATCTTCAGTATATTGGCATATTATTTTCATGGTTTCATGATGGTTGCAGAGTTCCAGGCAGCACAGATAGACGGGAAAATATCCGGATGTAGCATGGAATTGCGTATTCCTATTTGTTTGGTTTTTGATCAGCAAAGTACATGCTAAAGCCCTTCAGAAGAATTCCCTTTACACTTCTTCGGTTATAATTGAGTTACATACCTATGCCTAAATCACTGGCAAGAAAGAAATGGAAATGGCCCATCTAGAATGGCCCAACTCAGTCAAAATTTTTCACCTTGAGCTGGGAATGAGTGTTGCCTCCTGAACCACGTAGGTGGGAAAAAGAGAGAAGATAACTGAACAATGATCATGATTTGTTTGAGTGGGGATGGAGTGGGTTTTATGAATGTTTGTTAATAGGAACATGGTGCTTGCTGTTTCCCTTTCATTCTTATTCACTTGACCTCCTTCCTACTCAGCCTGAGGCATCAATCTGCATGTTTGTGTTGGGGCAGGTGGGGAAAAGAAGAAATTCTAATTAATTAAACAGGAATGAAAAGAATGTAGCGCTTTTTTTTTTTTTAAAGAACATTTCTAAAACAAGCTTGAACAATTAAATTATATGCCTTCAGTAAATATGTTATTTATGTATATGATCAGTAGTGATGTTGAAAATATTTGACAACTGGAATCAAATTTACAACTGGCCATTCAGGACAGATCAGAAAGGGTAAGGCTGGAAAAGGACTAGGAGAGCTGTACTGGTGTGAACCAGCTGAACATTAACACTATGCATGGTACCAATTTTAAAAGATACCGAAAGGTAGACAGTAAAAACAAGAGACTCCCTCTCATTCCATCCCCCAGCTTCCCAGTTCACTTCTTTAAAGGCAACCACTTTCCCAGCTAAACAGGCTTTTCAGGCTCTTTAGTAAGACAAAGCCGGGCTTCATCAAGGAAGAAATTGACTTTCTAAATTCATTTATTTATGCCTTTAGGGTATTAATTACCTGGCCTAGTTTAATTACCTGGACTTGATTAGAGAGTTTTGCATATGTGAGTGCCCAATCAACAGTAAATGGCAAGAGGAAAAGTCCATTCTTTCCAGTCCAAAAGAATGTGGTTGGAAAAGAGACAGAATAGGAGAAAGAAAGGTATGTTAGATAGGTTGAGGAGACTGCTGAGGGTTGGAGAACTGGAACACGTGGCCTTATAGGCTGTTCAGAACCAACACAGGGGTCAGCACTTCAAGTAAATCCAGTGACATAGAATGTTTAGGCAGAATGAGTTTCCTTCCCAGAGTGGCAGAGGCAAGGACCCCAAAGGATGCCATGGACAACAGATGCGTTCAGAGTATGAGGGCCAGCTAAGGTGCCTCCATGTTGAGGGTCAAGGAACTAAATGATCATTGTGGTAGAGGTTCAGAGGGTTCTACAGTGTTGGTGAGGCTGAATTAACCAGGGCACATCACAAACTCTTGGCCTCGCTAAGATAGGCCAGAGCAGTCCGCAGGCACCAGCACCAGGATTCATTGAATCTCAGGGAGCAGCCAAAATTAGCCACTGCAGATAAGTCTATAAAGAATTCCAAGGAGACCTTGCAGATATCCTTGCAGTACCCAAATTCCCCAGTAGTGTCTCGAGTTCATGTTAGCTACCCGCTTCTCTTCCCTCCTATACTCCAGGATGCCATTTGGTCAGAACAGACTGAGAGAGATGGAATAAGTGATGGAGTGCTTTAAACTTAAAGCAACTAAATTATTGTAACAGATTAAGTTTATCTGTTTTTCTCCTATTGTCCAGAGGCCAACAATATTTTACTTACAAGGCCGAATGTATTTTGAGTAAATCTGTGACATTATCATAAAAATATCAAGTAATTTTTCTCATGAATTGCTGCCAAGACAGAAGATTGTGTCGTTTGGCAATTATGGTTTATTTTTCTAAGCTTAACTCTTGGAGGGTAACTATATTTTCCCTTTATCCACATTTTTGATAATTTTCCACATATTGACACCTTTTTGCTTACATGTATGTCAAGTGACTTCTTAGAATATATGGGGAAGTAATTCAAACGTTTGGATTAGGGCATTAGGAAGGCTCCCATTACAAAGAAAGAATGAAGCAATAAAATTAAAGTCACAAAATTAATGTTAAGGATTCCTAATGAGTGAAGGAAACCGCTCTATTAAGTTGAAAATACACTTTACTTCCTAGTCATAATGAGTGAAATCCGATTGGAAATATATTATCGAAAAGGTAAAATATGGAATACAAGAACCATTTTATAAAGAAATTTGAAAAGCACCTGGACTACTATTAGCTTCCCCTCTCATGAAGTGCTCTTTCTCTTCCCATGAAATTTGAAGCTAACATTAACCTTCCTGCTCTATCTACTTCCACTATTCTTGCTAGGGAGGAGTGGGAACAAAAATACAAAATATTGTAGTTTGTTAGAATTAGTTGGTCATTGGACAAATAATTCAGTGTGTATTATTCCAGGAATCATTTTAAGATGCACATTAGGACACATTTCCTCCATAAGGTTTTCTCTAGGTCTACACAAATCCAATAATTCCACTTCCTATCTTCATTAATAGTCACTGTTAATAAAAAATTTTAATACTTTGGCAAATACTAAGTTTTGTCTTCATTTTGATAGACATCCAAAAGTGTAAATTAGCTTAAAGCAAAGTTCATAACACTTGCATAATACCTATCAGTGCCAAGTGCAATACTAGACAATATATGACAAAACTGAATTAACCAGTCCCTTTGATGGCTTTTACTTAGAATTTAGACCACGATGGAGAGCTTTAACATACCATGTTTTTTTTTTCTTTTTTTTCCTGAAGCTAATTGAGGATGCTTTATGATGTTCCAGATTTTCCTTAGCTCTTTTCCTGTGGTTGTGATCCCATCTTAGAGATTTATCAGTTGGGGGGATACACCTGCGAATGAAAGGCCCATTAAAAAGTAAAAACATTTAGAGAATAACATTGGTTAAATATTTAGATCCATGCTTCTACCGTATCCATGCTTCAATGAATCAAAAACCGAAATAAAACAAAGGTGCGGGTGGAAGACTGCATCTGCAACTGTGACTCGGTTAGTCACATTAAGGGCGAAAACGAAACCCTCAAAAAGGAGTTTATTTTTAATTTTCTTCCCCAAAGGATTAAAATCTCGTAACCGATACTTGCTTCATGACACACGTTGACACGATCATAACATTCTGACAAATAAATAGTAAGGATCATATCTTTAACAGTGATTTTTTTTTTAAAAGGAAAATCCTGAAAAATCCAAGATTTGATAGGAGAGGTGAGAAATGAGGTTCCCGCTGTAACAAGGCTGGGGTGGGTAAAGGTGGGCGGGCACCTTGCTGTTTATGTCGTAACCTACTGAAGGAGCCACGCGCCGGGCTATGGAGG